AATCTTGAAGGACTTCAGAAGCTGTAAAGAGGTTGGAGAACTAGTCGGTGTTTCAGAGCTGACCAGGCAAGGACTTTCTCAGCAGCAGTGCCGTGTCCTTTGGGCAGTAGGGACTTGGCCTTCATCCCCAGAGTCTCTGCTTCATTGCTGTTTACTGGATTATGCCAGTGCAGTTTGCTCTACTTCCAGGTCACTGACAAGTCTATAAATACCCTTTTTTCTTTGGTTGCAGAACACAGCCTAGCTTTGTTAACAGGAGCCAACCTGCTTGCTCAGAATACATTCTTGCTATTCAGCTCATTGTTCCTGGGAGGAACGCAGGAGAGGACCCTCTCTTTTTAGCACTTCACCGTGTGCCCAATAAATGAAAAGCCCTTTGCCCTCGACAGGTACTGACTTCATTTCCTTTTCGAGTGGCGAGTCCAGTGGGCTTCCTTTTCACTTCTAGTTCCACCTCCAGATTTCAGAATTAGAAGTGAATTAATTATAGGAGTTTGGCTAGAAGGCCATGGGGACAGAGGCCTCTTGATGGGGATGGGCGCGTAGTGTAGTATAGTCCCAGTGTTTCAGTGTCTGGCTCACAATTTGCTACTAGTGTCCTTCTTTAGGGACATTGGTTGAAGTCTTCCTATAGACATGTCACTGTTTGCTCTCGTGACCTCTTTACCTCCCCCCTTTATCTCTTGCTTGCCTGATCGCTCCCACCTGCATTTTCCTCCTTTCCTGGGTCCCCTAATGCTTGGCACCTGCCCACTGGTAGAATACTCAGCAGAGGCTCCTTGCTGTTATATTGTGGTGGTTTCCTGGAGACCCACTGTAGTTCCCAGTGCTGTCTTAGTCCTCACAACCAGTTCCTTAGAATCAGACTATACTTCATTGTATTGTCTTTTATCTGCTCTGTGGATCAGGAAACAGATTCATCCTGGGATGCAGACTAGGTAGTAAGCTCCTACATACATGGTGCAAGTGCCTTGTGTCAGGTTCATTTTAACATAAAAGTCTGGGATCTCAACCTGGTCATGGACTTAACGTAATGGGTGAGTTCGTTAGGAGACCTTCCCTCTGCCTTTTCTTGACTAAGTGAAGGAATCAATTTTAAAGGGGTAATGTAGGTGCAGAGCAGTGCATGTACCATGTGTATGCACCTCGATTGCTTTTCACTGGTGACGCATACCTCTTAGGACAGCTCTCTGAGGAGCAGTGCATATCCTTCTCTCCAGGAGCCCTGCTCAGTCTCTTCAGCCATGAGGGTAGCCTATGAATTCTGCCTTTCTCTAAGCTTGTATAACCATAATCAAGCCATTCTTTTGTCTGACCTCATCTGGAATTGAGGTAAAAAATTATTCATAGCTAAAATAGTCTTTGTTTATCTACATTTTCAGGTCAAGTACAGTTTGAAATTATTAACACCATAAATAATCAGCTTTTATGCATTTAGATTAGATGGATGGATGGATGGATGGATGGATGGATGGATGAATGGATGTGTGTATGTGTGTGTGTGTGTGTGTGTGTGTGTGTGTGTGTGTGTTTTGGTATATGAAAATTAGAAATTAGATTCTGGCATTCTGAGCAGTAGATTTGCTTCCTTTCACATGGGAAATCAGTTGCTCTCTTGTCCACTGGTACTGCCCTGTATACACTGAATGTGTATACACAGGGGTCACAGTCTCATTGTACTGCCCAATCTAGACTCAAATTCCAGATTCCCTTGTCTCTGCCCAGAGTGGTGTCATCCCAATCAAGGTCATCTATTGTGGTCTGTGTGTTGTGATGTTTGTGTCCTTAATAATAATGGACTCAAGTGTAAGGGTGATGATGCTTATGATTTGATTATAATGTGTGATACTTGTTCTGTTTCATGAATACTGAATTACTCTTCATGGTTTATAAGTTGAAATTCACCGTAGTTTGTGTGTTGGGAAGCTATAGTGTGGTAGGGCTTTTTTTTTTTCAAGGCATCCATCTGGGGTCCAGAAATGTATTCCCCTGGGGATAAGGAGGACAATTTTGTTCACTATTTTCAAATTTTCCACTCTGGTTGGCATTGTTATTCCCAGTTCCTCACCCATAAGAGAAGATGAGTCTCTTCTGGGGTCTCTTAACATTGTCAGAACATAGGTTGTTAAAAGTTCCTGTTATTTTTTTGTGAGTAAATAACTAATTCCAGCCATCTCTGTTCTCCTCATGTTTTTCTCTCTGTGGATCCCAGAGGAGAGCTCAGTGCTTATGTGTGTTTTTCTGGTTTGTTCATTTGTTGAAGCCCTGCAGCTCACTGGGCTGTCCTGCCTCCTCTCAGGCTCCAGGACTGATATCTTAGTATCTCTGTGGGCTTCCCATGGGGCAGATGGGTGTTCACAGCTCTCCTTGCACTGTGACTCCATCTTAAATTGCCTCAGTGTGATACTTACTGGCTCCTGTGCTGTAAGAAGAGCCCATCTGAGAAACAGGTCTCCCAAAGACTAGCAAATAGCTTCATATCTGTACTTGGCGTAGATACTTTATTAATCTGAAACATCTAACTCTATAATCAGCAGGATTCCTACTAAAGAGCCTCCCACTGAAAACTGGGATTGCTGGAAGGGAGTTTGATTCAAATTTTGTTTCACATGTAGGCTCCCATCTTGATTGATAGCATAAAGAGAATTCACCCTCTGCCTATGCCCTGCCATTGCTCTTACAGCCAGCAATTTTGATGGGCAGGTTTTCTCTTCACCTAAACCACCATTCTTTAAAAAAAAATAAAATAAACCAAACAGTGCAATTTAGTGTTATTTTCTGAGGACGTTTCTTCAGCATTACTTGCATACTCATTTGTCACTTTGAGACCCTAGTGTTGGTACCTGGTATTTGGGGTCACTGTGCTACTAAGGCAACTCTATTTAGATACACTTTGAATCATCTGTGAAGAAAGTCTTCATAAGGAATTATCTAGATATGGCTGCCCTATAGGCATGTATGTGGGAGATTATCTTGATTGTTAATTGATGTATGAAACCCATTTTGAGCAGCACTGTTCCTTAGGCAGGAGGTCCTCAGTAGTATTAAGAGGCAAAACTGAGACGAAAGAAAGCAAATGGGGTTGGATCCATGTGTTCATTCTTTAGACTCTTGACATGATGCTATAAGTTCCTTTCTTGACTTTCCCTTAGTAGTGAGTGGACTATAGCGTGGAATTGAAAGCCAAATGCACCTTTCTTCCCTTGAGTTGCTTGTTGTCTGGGTGTTTTATCACAGCAACAGATGAAACAGAACTGTTACATACAGAGATAAAGTGCATGCCTAGGATCTGACTCATCTGTGCATAACTGATACCATAGACGTTTCACTTCTCCATGAAAGTCAGCAACCCAGGACAGACACTAGCCTGTCAGCATCTTCCAACTCCCTCCTCAGTTACCTCCCATCTTCATGTTTGCCCTGTAGTCTGGAGGGCTTCCTGAGTCCAGTCAGCTTGCTCAGTTAGACACTGGGAAGGACGGGCATCTCCTGTTTGCTTTACAGAACCTTGGGCCTTGCACATCCCAGGTAGGGCTCAACCCTGAGCTATCCCCAGTTCCTTTGCTTCACTTTTGAAAATTAATTTTTACATAAGTTTTAGGTTCACAGCAAAATTTGAAGAACATTCTCAGATGTCCCCCTCCTCTATTCTTCTTTCAAATGAAGAGCTGGGTTGACAGTGCTCTCAGCACGTCCTGCCTGCCTCCCAGTGTGTTGTCCTGGCAAATGGGAAGCTCAGAAGATGCTCCGTTAGCTGTGTGCTTGCCTCCCAATAAAACGGGTTGGTGGTTCTGGGCTAAATATGAGAAATTGATAGGTAGGAAGTCTCTGTCATCTGATAGAAGAATCTCTTTGTTTTTTTCTTGGTTATGCAAAAGGAGTTTGAATCAAAAACTTAAAATAATATGTTTTAAAAAGCTGGGCTGGTTTAACCCCCAGAAACAGCTGATTTGACAAGGGTTAGCTTTTGAATCCCAGAATGATGGCTGGGAATCCAGCATGGGACTGATCAAGACCCCCTAAATGGGGGTGTCAGTGAGGAGGCCTAGGTAATCTATTGAGTTTGGGGAGTAGATCAGTATTTATCCCGATTATACAAATGGACTTTGGACTACCATCCAACAATGCGAGATGCACTCTCACCCTGAACTCCTGGGGGAGGGTCTAGGCCCTGCCCTGGATGAAATGACAGACTATGGACACCCCCAAGGAGGGCCTCACCCTCCCTGGGGAAATGAGGGGATATTGTGGGAGGGCACGGGAGGAGGGAAGGGAAACGGAGAGGGACTTGGAACTGACTTGTGAAGTAACCTTGTTTATAATTTAAATTTAAAAATAAATAATAAGAAAAAAAGAATAAAAGAAAAAAGCTGTTTTCAATTTTTTTAAACTTATTTTATGTTTATGTATTAGTGTACCACTCGTTATGTGTAGTGTTCATGGAGGTAAAAAGAGGGTGTTGGATCCCTAAGAACTAGAGTTATTGATGTTTGTGAGCTACCGTGTAGGTGCTGAAAATAGAACCAATGTCCTCTACAAGAGCAGCCAGAGTTCTTAACCACCGAGCATCCTTCCAGCCCCAAAAGCTGTTTTGTGTTTGTGTTTTTTAACTTTAACATTAAGTTACATTATTTACTGTGTGATTAGAGTTCTTAAGGGCTTTATCTTAAGTGTTTTAAATTATACTAAGAAATCATGTAGAAGGCTATATCAGTTTAGACACACATTTTTATAGTGAGATTTGAGAGAATGCTTTGAAAAATTTATAAGAACAATTTTAAGTATTTAAAATATGTGCTAAAATATTTAAAATGGAGTTGTACATGTTTTAAAACATTGTAAAAATAGTAGCTTGAATATAAACTTTAACTGTTTTCCATTAGAAAATACTTTGACTTATTTTGATTTCAGGAGAAGCCTTGGCAAGGAAGCCACACCTTTTCCCATCTCCAGGCTATGGTACCTTTGTGATAAGAATGTTTTTCTTTGCTTTCATGTAGAGCGTACTCCTTCCACGTTACTGCCGATGGCCAGATGCAGCCTGTCCCCTTTCCCCCTGATGCCCTCATTGGACCTGGGATCCCCCGACATGCTCGGCAAATCAACACCCTCAACCATGGGGAGGTGGTGTGTGCAGTGACCATCAGCAACCCCACAAGGCACGTGTACACAGGTGGCAAGGGCTGCGTTAAGGTCTGGGACATCAGCCACCCTGGCAACAAGAGCCCCGTCTCTCAGCTGGATTGTCTGGTGAGCGAGCATGAGGGGCCTGAGCTTCACTCCTATTAGCAGTGTTAGCTGCTCAAGCTCCTCCCCCTCCCCGCCCCCAAATTGGTCAGGTTTCAGTTACTGCATACTAGGAGGGTTAATTCCTAGTGTCGAAGAGTATATTTTTGGAGATGTTTTGCAGTAGTTTGCAGAGCTCACTTTGAAGACATGCTTAAAAACAAAAAACAGTTAATGTAGACTCTGATCCCAGCAATCCATTCACCTTGAAATTTCGCTGTAAGCTCTAGATAAATATCAAGGGATCAACATTTGCTAATAACAGCATGAAAACCCTTCCAAATAGGTTTGGTGTTGTGGAGGAGATGGGGGAGATGGTTTTGCCTTCCTACTATATAAGACAGAAAGAGTTGTCTCACAAAGCACCTAGTCACCCCATCGATAGCTTAAAGACACCCATTTGCCTTAGGATTGTTAGCCATACATACTGTTGGTCTTCAGACTGAACTGGGCTGTTCTGCCTGCGTGTCTGCAAGATGTGATTCTCAAACAACAGGGCAGATATTTTAGAGATAAATAGCTGGTGTGCATTCATGTGTCTTGTCTATCTCTGTTTCCTCCTCCATCCCTCCATCTCTCCCTCCCTTCTCCCCTCTTTTCTCTCTCCCTCTCAGTATTAGACATGCTTATATTGAGAAAGCCAATCCACTAAACTATTAGATAAGTACTCAACATTCATTGGGCAGTGTCAGGAAAAATGAAAACAAAACCAGACTTGGTGTGTCTGTGCTATCCAACAGTAAATGTTGGTGAGAAGGCAATGTTCCTCCCCCACAGGGAAGTACACTCACAGCTGCCTCCCACTTGTGCGCTTTCGGGTCTGTCTGTGCAGTTGGAAATCAGGACTACGGTTGAGCAGCCCTGTGAGTTGTTTACTTTTGGAAAAAGACAATAGCAGTTGGACCCTGATCTTTCTTGTAGAACAGAGTGTCCATGAAATGTCTCTCTTGAAGTTAAAAACCAGAGTAGCATTTAGGAATACACGGTGTTATCAGTTGGCAATGCTCTACAGTGATTACGTTCTATTATTTCACAGAATAGAGATAACTACATCCGTTCGTGTAAATTGCTACCTGATGGCTGTACTCTCATAGTGGGAGGGGAAGCGAGTACTCTATCCATCTGGGACTTGGCAGCTCCAACCCCCCGAATAAAGGCAGAGCTGACATCCTCAGCCCCTGCCTGCTATGCTCTGGCCATCAGCCCTGACTCCAAAGTCTGCTTCTCATGCTGCAGTGATGGCAATATCGCAGTGTGGGACCTGCACAACCAGACCCTGGTCAGGTGAGTACACGGATCTTCCTAGGGAAAGCCTCAGTTAAGAGGCTGCTGTCAGTTGAGTGTTGACACAAAGGCAAACTGAGGCCAGCTGTGGATGATGATTGCAGTCTTGCCATATGTCAGAGCGTCGCCAATGCTGTGCTCTCCTTCTTGCTCCCATTCTTTGGCTTACACTGAGGTGGAAGATCTGGCTTCGTCAGCCAACAGTCTAATGTGGGATAAATGACAATGCAAGGGCCTCCCATCTAAATGTTTTGAACTTGGCCAGAGTCTTGTTTGTGCAAATGGAAATCTACTGACCCAAGACAACAAGAGAACTTTAAAAATGAGCTTCCATGAATTGAAACCACAAAATGGCTTTAAAATATCTGCATTTCTCTGTAGCTAACTAAGAGGGTCATTTCTCTTGGGAGCACATGGGCCTCTATTAGGCTTCTAGATCTTCCTACTTCTCTCAGCACCTAGTCTGGCTCCATTTAGTGCTCATGCCAGAGGTGTTCCAGAAAGCTGCTTTTAAGAATAAGCACTTAAAACAAGTATGGTGGTAAAGACCTGTAAATCCAGCCTTTAGGAAGTGGAAACAGGAAGTTATCCTCTGCTTTATAGCTGAGAAACCCTGACACAGAAGTTACTTTGCTTTGGTCCTATAGTCAGACCTGGCTTCCTGGAGAAACACCAATCATATATATGAGGAGGGGTCCCGCTTTTTACATCTTAACTTGGTCTTACCATGTGTGGCCAGTGGCTGCTCTGTGTGACAGAGTCCTGTGTCTCCTATGACACAGCATATTCTCAACAGTCAACAACTTGGCAGTCACACTAGGGTGTGCCTGGATGGGGAGGCTCGTGGAGCACCCATCCAGTGCTGATAGTTCACAGGGAAAGATGTTTGGAATGAAAAACTAATAATTAACCGAGTTGAAGAGGTGATAAGAAGTCAGGGAAGGAAAGGGTTCTGACAATTGTTTGAAGAGAGGAAAGGTACTATAAGAACTCCTCCAACTTGGGGTAATCATGGAGAGACTTGTTAATACTGTTGAGGTCCACTTACTGGGCAACAGCAGGAACACTGAGCGTGTGGGATGAGGGGACTAGCTGGGACAAGATCTGAAGTAGGGTTGAGCTTGTGAGAAAGATTTCTGGCTCATATCTTGGCTGAGAATTCGGGGCAGCAGTGGTGATTTTTTTTCCTTCCCTTACACTTTTAAATTCTAAGCTTGGCGCTCTGTGGCAATAAGGTATGGGGGGCCTAGAGAAAGAAAGGACCTTCTTGGCATTGAAATTCCTAAGCAGTTCTATGCTGGGTCTTTCCTGGTTCTAAAGGTGGGTCCTGACCTCTCTGATCTGCCCTGGCCAGTGCATGCTCAGCATGTAGAGTCAAGTTTGTGAGAGTCACTGCATGTACCCTCCCCACCTGCCAACCCCAGACCCTTCCGTGCTCTTGTTGCTCTTTCCACTGCTAGCCTGACTTGTTGCCTCATGTCCTACCAGGGGTCAGAAATCCCTGCCACCCAGTTGATTTGGATGCTCTTTGGACTTTGCATGAATGTCCCCTATAAAGAAAGCCTTGCACCGGGGGTGGGATCTGGCAAGTGTCTGTTGTCTTCGGTCTTTTTGTCTCTGCCTAGCACCTCTGAGGTCAAGAGGCCTGCTTGACCCTTGTTCTCTGGGAGTCCACATTTCCTAATGCAAGACCCTTTCTGATTCAGAATGGCAAGGCTGAATACACTGGAGAGCTCATGCTGCGCCAGCAGGAAGGGCACTGCTGGTCAGTTCTCTTCTGAATGAGTGTGTTCTTGGAATAAGCCTTTTCCTTTCTGTGGGTTCAAGCCTTGGCCCCTGAAGTACAGGTTTTTATCGCTCCTTAAGGGTCTTGTGTGTTTATCATTATTGTCTTTTAGTACTTAAACTCTTTTCCAGACCTGGGAAGAGTTTCACTGGGTCTATTTATCAGAGGCCCTAGTAGCATACTTGACTTCTGGCAGCAGCCTGCAATGCCATTCCATTTCTTTAGGCCTTGGATCTTGAAAAAGGAAACAGAACCTGCAGGGGCAGTTTCCTGTGCTCCTCGGGGGAAGGTTAGTTTGATATTGCACACCAGCAGACACTGAGATGACACACAGTGAGTCCAAAACTAACAACACAACAGTGTTTACTTTGAGCTCTGGCAGGAAATCATTATTCAGTCTGGTTTGTTTTATCAGGCAATTCCAGGGCCACACAGACGGAGCCAGCTGTATTGACATTTCTAATGATGGCACCAAGCTCTGGACAGGCGGTTTGGACAACACTGTGAGGTCCTGGGACCTGAGAGAAGGGAGGCAGCTGCAGCAGCATGACTTTACATCCCAGGTGAGGGCTTGGCTCTGGCCTGCTGTGGAGTCAGGAGGCTTTGTGTGAGCCATCCTCCAGCCCAGCATCAGGGGAGCCGGATAAACACATCTCCCTCCATTGAGTTTAAAATCATAGGGTTAAAACCACAGCCCACGACACCCCCTACCTATCTGCCCCTGTCACAAGGGAAAATGGTTACAAAACATATTAAGATGTTTTATATACACATAATTTTGGTAAAAGGAGTTTATACGGTAGAGAATATACATGTTTCCTTCAGCAGGATATAGTATGTTGTGTGTATTCTCACCGTCAAATGCAGAGTGAGAGTGAAATGAATGTTGATTTATTTCAAGGAGTCTAGGAACTTGTGGATACCCATCTCATTTCTTAGCCTTTAAAAACACTGAGGGGGCAAGTGGACACTGGGCCCCATCCCTTACTAAAGCTATTTGCAGTTGATAACCACTAGCAAAGGAGGATCAGTTTTCTCCAATGGAAGATCACCAGATACATCCACCACACTCTGGTGGGCCCCATACCTCATTAGTTGGCCAACACAAACTCCTTGGGGGTTTAGGGTGTGTGTGTGTGTGTGTGTGTGTGTGTGTGTGTGTGTGTGTGTGTGTGTGTGTGTGTGTGTGTGTGTGTCTTATTGGTGTTTTTGCTTGGGTGGGGGGAGAGAGAGACAGAGAGAGAGACCAATGGGAGGTAGGGAGGTGGGAAGTATCTTTGAGGAGTTGGGGAGGGGAAAATGATCAGAATACGTTGTGTATTTTTAAATAGAAAATATCATACCCAACTAGATCTATAGGGTTGTTTGTTTGGGGGTTTATTTTGTTTTGTTTTGTTTTTTAGGATAATGTCTCATTCTGTAGCCTAACTTCAGGCTGTCCTCAAATGCAAGGCAGTCCTACCTGCAACTTAAGCCTCCAGAATACTTGGAGATGTATGCTATTATTACATGAACTGGAGTTTTAAAATAATATAAAAAGTTAGTAACTTTTGAAGTAGTCAGATGTCACGGATCTAGACTTGATTGGCAAAGGTAGCACTTGCCCCTTTCCGGTGTCTTCCTCATGCTAGAGTTGTTCTTTTGTTTATTACTCAGCATTTATTTATTTGCATGTTTGTTTACTGGTAATAAAAAATAAAAATAAAAACTAGGTTAAAAATGAAAAACAACTAAATATGCACTCTTAATTTCATTTCTGTTGTTCTGATAGAACACCATGACAAAAACAGCTTAAGGAAAAAGGTTTATTCTAGATGACCATTCCAGGTTACAGTCCATCACTGTCATAAAGTCACAGTGGCAGAAGCTTGATATAACTGACATTGCATCCATAGTCAAGCAGAAAGGAGGGGAGTCCTGCATCAAACTGGCACAGTCTCTATGATGCAGCCTAGGGCTCAGCCTATGAAGTGGTGACACCTGTATTTGGGAGTCTTCCCACTCATGCAACCCAACTGAGAAAATCCTTCACAGGCATGCCCACAGGACAACCCAATAGAGGCAGTTCCTCACTGAGATTCTTTCTAGGTTATATCAACTATCATATACTAAGTTTAGGTGACTGTTGACATTGTTAAAATATTTCCTGTTTGACCCTTCTGTAGAGTATTCAGGATATTTTTTTTGGTCACTATTTTTAAATGAATGAAAATTTCAAATGCCCATAAGTATCAAACGTATGTAAGCCTATATCACATATAGAGGTACGCATTACCTAGCTTAAGCAGTTATCAGCACCTGGCCAGTCTTTATTCTACCATCCTCACTTGAAACACTGGCTTACAGATCCTAGACATTGGATTTTCTTGGACAAGTATGTCAGTCAGTATATCTTTATGTTGACGTTTAACGCCATTCTTGAAGATAGTTTCTTATTTCACAGCATGGATGAAACTATTTAATCTCCCACTTGTTCAGTAGAGGGTCCTGGGCTTTGCTGAATCTCGTACCTCTTCTCAGTCTGGGTTTGGCTAATTAGCCCTCCTTTATGCCACCCCTTCTTGTCCCGTTTCCTTACAACAGATCTTCTCCTTGGGATACTGCCCCACCGGGGAGTGGCTTGCTGTGGGCATGGAGAGCAGCAACGTGGAGGTCCTGCACGTGAGCAAGCCTGACAAGTACCAGCTGCACCTCCACGAGAGCTGTGTGCTGTCCCTCAAATTCGCTTACTGTGGTGAGTCCAGCCACAAGGCCACCGACGGCCTAAATGAACACTTTTTAAAAATATGCTTAGAGATGGTATCTGGGAGAAAAATGTTCCCCTCCATGCAGCTGGACACAGTAATTCTATAATCCTTTTGCCCCTCCGAGCAGAGTAATGTCTGTCTCAGCCTGCTTTGTTAGTTTGGGAAGAGTCAGCAGGCATTGAAGTAAGCTTTGAGTACACTCGTTCTGTGGTAGGGGTGGGGAATGATTGTTAGTGCTCAAGAATACTGGAAGTCACTATGTACTGACTATAATAAGGAACCTGGGTCAGAGGGGACAGTTAGCTGCACCCAGATTCTTTTCCTCTGAGTGAGAACAGAGAAAGGAAAGTTCACAAGGAGACTGTCATTGACTGTGAGAATAGATGGGTGAATGTGTAGCTGACACTAATTGGACATTCTATATGCATCTGATATGACAGGCATTTCACGTTAGTTCAGTATTTAATTCTTTTTGCTCTTATTGCTTCCATAAGACTGAAAATGGCTGTGATGCTTAGTAAAGTATTAAATAACTCATTGTACTAGCACGCATGCATATACATAAACAAGCTCAGGTGGGTGCGGAAGCCAGTGGTCTTCATCCTCTGCCCTAACCCATTCACCATCTTGGTTTTGAGGCAAGGCTTTTCTCTCAAGTTGGAACTTGTCATTTTAGCTAGGTTAGATGGCCAGCGAGTGTCCAAGGCCTACTCACCTGTTTTATGCCGTTTCCCAACTTGTCTCTGGGGGTCCAATTCAAAGTACACAGGACCACATGCTAGAAATCTGAACCCATGTCCATGTTTGCCTGTGTATATCCACTCAGTCATCCATCTCCTCAGCCCTTTGACAAGTTTCTGATTACAAACAGGATCACACCAAGGGCCTAGATTTAAAACCTGCTTGGATTGAAGACCAACCCTTTGGATATTGTACTTGATATGTTAAAAATGCTCTCTTTTCAACCAGGCCTGGTGGTCTGTGCCTTTAAGCCCAGCATCAGGAAGGTAGAGGCGGGTAGATCTCTGTGAGTTGAGGCCAGCCTGGTCTACAAAGAAAGTTCTAGCGCTGACACAGAGAAACCCTGTGTTGAGGGAAGAAAAAAAAAAGCAAAACATAAAAGCTCTATTTTGGGCCAGTTAGATCATTCCATGGGTAAAAACACTAATATTATTCAGGCCTTGTGACCTGAGTTCAGTCTTTGAAACACATGTTTAAAAACTAGATGAGCTAGGAAACACCTATAATTCCTAACAGTGAGCTGAGAATGAGCTGAAACAGGAAAATGGCCCTAGAAGCTCACAGGGCAGCAATAGAAACAGTAGTAGAGTCCCTGTCTCAACAGGTGGGAAGGAGAGAACCAACTCCACAAAGCTGTCCTCTCACCTTCACACATGCTTCCTGACCTGTGTGTGTGTGTGTGTGTGTGTGTGTGTGTGTGTGTGTGTGTGTGTGTGTGTGTGCGCGCGCACACACTCCCAGAAACCACACACACACACACACACACTAAAAGCAATGCTCTATTTAATTCCAACAGGGGAAATTTTAAATATGAATATGTGCTTTTGCTAATTCTAGGCAAGTGGTTTGTGAGTACTGGAAAAGACAACCTCCTCAATGCCTGGCGGACACCCTACGGAGCCAGCATATTCCAGGTACAGAAGGGCTACCTTGTAGCCTTTGAAACAACTAATGGCTTGTGTCAGAAATGGAGCACATTAAATAGTCTCACATTAAATACTCTCTGCCTGTTGTTTTTTCTTACAGTCCAAAGAATCCTCATCAGTGCTTAGCTGTGACATCTCTGTGGATGATAAATACATAGTCACTGGCTCAGGGGACAAAAAGGCTACCGTTTATGAGGTCATCTACTGAAAACATTATGGCTTCATATTTGCAGTTGAATTGGGCCAAATGTTTGGAATTTGTAGAAATAGAAAAGTTACAATTAAAAAAACAAACAAAAAAAATCTGAAGAAACCTGTTTCCAAACGTTGACACAGAACTGTTTTGAGTCTACAAAGAGAAGACAACAAGTCTGCATTAGACAGTCACCTGTCTACCTTTGGACACCACAGCCACACAGAGGCCACAGGTGTGGAATAGAGGAGCAAGCTACTGCCTGTCAGTCACATCTTGCCCAACTGTGAGCTTACTTTTCTGTTCCTTGCAGTTCATTTCACATTGAGTCCTCTGTAGGACAGTGGTGTCTCCAATGAACTTGGTTCTTGGTTTTGCATCTTGTGGGGTTTTTTTTTTCCTTTTTGTATTTTTGTTGGTTCAACATTTGTATAAATTGTAAATATATTTGGTTTATTACAGTAAAGCCTTTAGTACCAGTAAGTGGTCTTCCTCCTTGATTGTTTTTAATCAACATTTTGTAATCATGGATGTGGGTTTTGTGAGTAAGTCCATGCACACATAGGTAAGTTCTCAATGCTCTTGTCTTTGCACAAATACATTTGACTGTGGACGTCTGCTTTATGGGGACTGATCATGTCAAAGTCCTTGTGGATTACCACAGACTCAGGATCAGAACTGGAACTGTCTGTAAATGACAGCTTCGAGAGAAGAACTTGAAGTTACTTTGATGCTCATTCTTTGAGACTTATGATTAAAACTCAAAATTATCATGATTTTTATTTTGTTTTTAGCATGGGCTCACTTTGAACTGGAGCAAACCTCTTACCTCAGCTGGGATTACAGTTGTGTGTCACCTTTCCTGGCTTCTTTTTTTTTTTAACTTGGGTAATGAAGCAAACACTGAGCCTGTTTTCACACATTCACCCTTACTGCCTTCTTCCCCTCTTTCCTTACCCCAAAGAGACCCCTTCTGGTTTCATATTATATGAGTGTATGTTTGTGTGTATGATTAATTCTAGATTGTATGTATGAGAGAAAATATGTACATTTTTCCTTCAAAGTCGCAAATTAAAGTTCTGCCTTTTCCTGGTGTCTCACTGACAGGAAGAATTGGTTTTTCCTAGAAAGGCCCAGTCTTTTCTTATCTACATTCTTTCTCTTGTGTTTCAAGAAATGTATAGATGATTTATATTTTGTTTTATGATGTGTGCTGTTCGAAAAGCTCTGGAGTTCATGTCCCTAGAAAAGTGAGATGGAAAGTCAGCTGATTATGTCTCATTAGTGCTTATGTGATCTATTATGCTAATTTACTTACTCCAGCAAGCCTTGGCCATTAAGACTGTCCCTGCAGCTCTGGACATTGTAGTCTGTCATTAATCTTTTGTCTTTAATTTTATAGACAAGCTTTTACTAATTTGATTAGGTATGATATCTGTAATCCTGGGCTCTTAATAAGTTACTAAGCATGCTTGCTTTTGAAGAAGCTACACAACTCGTGCTTTATATACTTGTTATTTACTACTATATATTAGAAAATAATGGCTGATAAGTGCCAGGAGCTGAGAATTTCCCATGCCCTTGTTCTCTTACAATTCAGTGGATTGGCAGTTATTCTTTATGCTTTTCATTTGTCATCAAGACCTTTTTGTATCTTAAAAAACAATAGTTTTCACGCACAAAAAAAGATGTTTCTCCAAAGTTTACTAAATACTTTTCATTAAGCAAACAGCTAACTCTAATGACCAAAACTGATTTCTGCCTCTCTTCCCTATGTTATGAAGTAGGTCTATTTGCCTCTCTTCTCCTTCCATCCAGACACCCAGACATATAGTGGTAAAAGAACACAGGGATTTGTTTTTCTCCAAGCTTAGACTCAGACACAGAATAGCAGTGTTGCTGTGGTTTCACAAATTCACTACCTATAAGTAGGGAAGGATTGGAAGTCCTGGGAAATAAGTCACTGAATAGAATCTGTTGTATCCCTTCTATTCACCAGTCCATTAGCTGATACAAACTGTGGGAGCTGAGAATAGAAAGTGGGAATTTGGGAACCTGTCAGATCATCTTTTCTCACTTGTATAATGTGAATGATAAAAATTGTTGTGCCTACTGCCCAAGGTCTTGAGGACCATAGTTGGTATGTCAGCAGGATTTATTGAGAGCTCACGAGTGAGTCTTATTTGTCCCATTATAGTGTAACTTCACCTTAACACTATGCGTCTCTGTCTCTGTCTCTGTCTCTGTCTCTCTCTCTCTCTGTGTGTGTGTGTGTGTGTATGTGTGTGTGTGTACACATGTGTGTGTGTGTATACACGTAGGAGCTTCTACATTTATGGGTTTCCATATGACTTTCTCATAAGGTCTTTAGTGTTATTTATCCTCTGTTTTCTCTCCTCTGCCCTGTACTTCCACTCCCCACTTGAACTCATGCTTCATTATTCCAGTTCAACTCTTTATGTAACCATGTTCTATGTATTCTCCCTTGAAAGCCATGCCCTCTTACTAATTTCTAACATCTATGGATGTGCCAAATAAAATGTACACATCGGAAGATTGAGAGTTAACATCGACAAATAAGAGAAAGCATGATCTGGTTATCTTTCTAAGTCTGGGGTTACTTCACTCACAATGATTGTTTCCAACTTTATCTCACTTATCTGTAAATTTCATAACTTGTTTTTTGTGATAGCTGATTAAAAAATTTCAGTGTAAAAATATACTCCTTTTTAGTATCCATTTATCTGTTGATGGACATCAAGGCTGTTTCCATTTCCTGGTTATTGTGAAAAGAGCAGCTATAAACACTGATGAGCAGGTATCTCTGTAGTAGAATATAGAGTCTTTTGGATCTCTGCCCAAAAGTGGAACAGTTTTATCCTGTGGTAGATCTGTATGGTAGTTTGAATAAGTATGGCCCCCATAGACACACGTTTATGAATGTTTGGCCTATAGGGAGTGCACAGTTAGAAGGTGTGGCCTTATTGGAGGAAGTTGTCACTGTGGAGGCAGGCTTTGAGGACTCATATATGCTCAAGCTATTCCCAGTACAGTCTCTTCTGCTGCCTGCAGATGAAGATGTAGCACTCCCAGCTCCTAGCACTATGTCTGCCTGCACACATCTATCCTTCCTGCTATGATGATATTGGACTAAACCTCTGAAACTATTACCCATCCCCAGTTTTTCTTTGAGAGTTGCTGTGATTATGTTGTATCTTCACAGCAGTGGAAACCCAAATTAAGACAGAAGTTGGTACCAGGGACAGGGATATTTCTGTGATATTGCCTGGCCATGCTTGTGTTTGGAGGAATGTGAACTTTGGTAGTTTGGATTAGAAAAGCACTTGAATGATTTAGTGGAGCGTAATGGGCCATACTAGTAGGAGCATGGAAGACAGTGGGGCTGAGGATGATTTGAATTCTGTGGGTCTGGCTCAAGAGAAGAATGTTAGCATAGTCCCTGAAGACTGGTCTTGTGATATTTTGGTAAAATATGTGGCTGCTTTTTTGCCCTTGTCTGAAATATATGCCTGAGGGTAAAGTGAAGAGTTTTGCATTAATTTCACTGACATAGGAAATCTCAAAACAGCCTAGTATTAACTCTGTTGTATGGTTGTTAGCATTCGCTCTTATAAAGATCTATAATAAAAAGGAACAAGCTGAGCAAAGAAAAATACAAAACATACAATTTGAGGAGAAAAGGGGCACCAGGAAATGGAATGGAAGTAAATCCTGTGTTCAAAAAGATAAGCGGATTAAAGGAAAGCCTGGTATTAAATGGAATAAAGAAAATGGAGACCTCAGGGCAAGATCTCACCCAGCTAAACTTCCAACTTGTGACAAGGAATAAAAGCTTAGGTCTGCCTTTAATTCCAGCACTTGGGAAGTAGAGGCATGCAGATGTCTGAGTTCAAGGCCAGCCTGCAAGTTCCACAACAGCCAGGCTTAGGCAGTGAAGGTAACCATCAAAAACAGAAGGCTCATGAAGATGTAATTGAACAAGTGGGCCGTGTTCCAGCCTCAGGAAGCATGTATCCCTGCATGGAGGCCCAGAGAGGCCATTGTGTGAAGCTGTGAGAACTAGACTTGCATTGCCTTAGAGACCCCAGGATGTTGGAGATTCCAGAGTCATGGGATACCTGCTGAGGACAGCTGATAACAGGGAGCAGAACCAGCCAAAGAGGAAGAAGTGTGTTGCAATTAACAAAGTTAAACAGAACTGGAGATATGAAGAACATTTTGACATCAGATATGGAGATTGGCATTGCCCAGCTGGGTTTTGGTCTTGCTTTGGTCCAGTATTACCTTACTATGCTTCCTTTCCTCCATTTCGGAATGGTAATGTATATCCTGTGCCATTATATGTTCAAAGTATGTGATCTGCTCTTTTATTTTGATTGTACAGGTGATTACAGTTAAGAAATTGCATGAATCTCAGAAGAGACTTTGACCTTTTAAACAGGGTTGAGACTGTTATAGACTATGGGGACTTTTGAAGTTGGATTGAATGCATTTCTGCATTATGTTATGGTTACAGGGAGTGGAATGTGGTGGTTTGAATAGGTATGTCCCCTCCATAGACTCATGTGTATGAATACTTGGCCTGTAGCAAGTGGCACTATTAGGAGGTGTGGCCTTGTTGGAGTAGGTGTGACCGTGGAGAAAGTGTGTCACTGTGGAGGCCGGCTGTGAGATAATATAGGTTCAGGTTTACGACAGTGTCTTCACTTTTGCTGGCTGCAGGTCAAGATATAGAACTCTCAGTTCCTCCAACACCATTTCTACCTGTGCACTGCCATGCTTCCCATCATGACGATAATGGACTAAACCACTGAAACAGTAAACCAGCCCCGATTAAATGTTTTCTAAGAGTTGATGTGATCATGGTGTCTTTTTACAGCAATAGAAAAGCAAACTAAGACTATCTATTTCTAGTTTCTTGAGTATTCACACTGATTTCCATAGTGGTTACTCCCACCAGCAGTAAGCATTCTTCTTTCCCCATATCCTCATCAGCTTTTGCTGTCCCTTCCTTGCTGTTTTCTTCATCTTAGCCATCCTGCCTCCACTGTAAGGGAAAATTTCAAAGTAGTTTTAATTTGCACAACTTTGGTGGCTAAAAATGTTGAACACTTTGAAAAAGTGTTTTTTGTTTTGTTTTGTTTTTTACGAGACAGGGTCTCTCTGAAAAAGTGTTTCTTAACCATTTGTAGTTCTATTTGTAACATTCTGTTTAGGTCTGTACCTCATATGCTTTTGGTTTTCTTTCACTGTTTTGAGTTCTTTGTGTATTCTAGAAACTAACTTGTGTCAGTTGTGTAGCTGATAATGTTTTTCCCCCTGTAGGCTGTATCTTCCCTCAAATGGTGATGTGCTTTATTGTGCAGAAACTTTTTAGCTTCATGAGGTCCCACTTATGTGTTAGTGTTAATGGCTATGCTACCAGAATCCCATTCAGAAAACCATTTCCTGTGCCTATAAGA